TTTTTTTTTTTTTTTTTTTGCGCGTGCACTGTAGTATGATGAAATGGACCAAGTCTAAGGTGCAATTGGGTCCTATATGACTGTTGGGCCTTAGTAGGATCGTGCAAGAAAAAGTGTACATGTAACTATCAACTATTGAAGAGGGCCAGTGATCGCTATTATTGTTTGCCACTTTGCTATATTTTTTCAATTCATTTGCTATCAAAGTGTGTAATACATGGAGTGCCCTGTCGTTTTCATTAGAATTAGCCTTTGCTTTCTCAGAGTGTGTGTGAGGTTTTGCTGTGATTTGCTTGCATTGCACTTGACAAAATTTACGATCTCTATAACAAATGATGAACTGAAAATTGTTTTTCACAGTTTTCATAATCAGTAGTTGAGTATTTATATGACAATTGAATAACATAGTTTCCTTAAACTAGTATTTTGTGATAACTCACTTCCTAAGTCTAAGCTATATAGTTGGGATAATATCCTGAAATTCAAAATACAGCAAGGACAAAAGCTGAACAAACTCATCTAAGCAATCCGTAAAGCAAAGCTAAGGATGGTTATCCATTAGCAATCCCTAAAAATGAGGATAGTATCTGTTATTATGTCCCCCTCAAGATTCGGCTCGGCANTGTTGTGCCCCCTCATCATATTGGGCTCGGGAGCGGAGTCCGATCTTGAATTTGAGCTCAAGAAAGCATGCGTAAGGAAGTGGTTTGGTGAGAGCATTAGCCAAATTTGGACCCAGACAACTGACATAGGCACCCCTAGTCAGTATTAGAGAAAGCATGGAAATTGAGAGAGAAATCACAGTATAGCTATAGCCCATCATGAAGAACGTTACACAAGTACAGTAAGAGCCACTTAACACAGGTTGAATGGTCAGTGTTTAGGTTATGCCAATGTCGAGTCGCGTGGTTAAGACAGATTATAGACTACCAACTATAATACGATACTCACTAGGATATGATAACGAAGAACCTGAGGTCAGCGTAAGAGGTGGACTAGTTGACAAATAAGAATCAGCTTTTGTTCTTGCATGTGGGTTCGGGCAAGAATGTACGGATGTAACGTTGTTGAGAGAGCAGAAAGCCATGTTTATTAGGAAAAACTTTGATACCCAGAAAGTAATTTAGTAAAGCTGACATCTTTAAGAGAGAACTTTTGAGCAAGGATAGTCACAAATTTATTGATCATGGCTAACAATATCGCCTGTAAGGTTTAAATCATCAACATAGACGAGAAGATATATAATCTAATTTGTAACACTCAAAATCTAATATCTTTTTATATATATATAAAGTTAAAGATTTGAAGTGTTACCAAAATCAATCTTATCTAATTTATGAAGAATTGAACACTATTTCACAAATCTTAAGATTTGATCGATAAATCTATAATTTAATTCAACAATTTCATATATAATTAAATTTTAAAATAATACGATTTCAATTGTCAAACTTAACATGGGATTAAAAAAAAAAAAAAGCTAGAATGCCAAACTACTAAAATAAGGTGCACTTAATTAAACATAAAAATATTCTTTAAGATAAAATTAGCCATAAATCCTTGCTAAAAATTTTACTTGGCAACCCATAAACATCCACTTGTTCAATCTTCCACGCGTCCAATACGACCCGTTCTAATTTGAGATTTAGTGTAAGAGTGAGTATTTTGAAAATAACCAGTAAAAATACGTGTAAATTTTTATTTAACATAATATAAATATAAAACGACATAACATACCCGACATTCTTAAATTTAGAGCAACAAGTTGCGATATCAAATAGCTTAAAGAATTTCTTTAGAATTCACGTATCCCGTATGATTTACATATTTGGACTTAACAGTCTACCCCGAAATAATTATATAAAAATTGACCCGAATGACATAAAGTATTTCATGCCACAATTATATAAATATCAAGAAAAACAATAATTTATCACAACACTATGTATTCTTACCTTAATTGATACCAAAATATCTAAAAGTACAGCTTGTAAAAAATATAAAAATGATACTTTGTTTCAATTTCAAAAGTGTTAGTGGTGTGAAACATGTACAATATCAACTTTGTGGTAAAAGAAAATCATCCCACCTCAAATATACAAATATATATATATTCTTTGCACCATAGACGCGCAACATGCACAAATTCAAAAGGCATTTTAACGTAGCGGAAGATTATAGGAAAGATGAACAACCTCACAAAGATGAGAAAACTCACGAGAAATTTTATTCAATTCAATAATCTGCGGTCTCAAAGGGCTTACAATGCTTTAAATAGTAAAACTCTAACAAAATTCGGAAAATAAATAATAAAAAAAAAAGATATTTTTCCATAAATGGAAAAATTCGAGATAACAGCTTAAATGGGAACTCCTAAGATTCAGGATTGTCCTCCAACAAACGGAATACAAATCTGGATTTTATTGAATGAGATATTGCCAAAATAAAAATTACCATAAACGGCAAAAAGGCTTAATCGAGGGCCTAAACGACGGAATTTGCCCAAAATTCGAGTACATCAGGGCCAAAGGCACTGAGTTGTGATCATTGGCCCGTATTCAATCGAATTAGACTAGCAATTCGCCAAAATGGGACAAACCCGAAATTATCATAAAATCATTATTTTGCCTTGCGATCCCATTTCATCATAAATTCTAATTCCTTATGCACTTCATCAGTATGTGACGCAAGTGAACATGTACGAAAAAAAAGTTGTAAAGTTTTGTTTTTCGTTCCACCGTTGACCCTATCTATGTTTCTATAATGGCCAAAGAACACGCTCATTCTTCAGCCGGAGAGAGACTTTTCAATTGCGAGGACCATTACGAGCTCAATATATTTAAAGAATAATTCTCTAATCAGTTCCTTCCTCGAAATCAGACACACTATTTTCATGAAAAACCATTTCATTCTTGATCTGTTTACATTCCTAAATCGATGTCTTTCCAGGAATTTTGCCTCCATCAATACAAGCTTCCCATATTCGAAAAAGGTCGTCTTCATCTTTTTTTTTGAAAAAATAAGGATATTCATACTGTTCTATGTAAAGTATGTGATTTATCTAAACATCATCGAGCTCATTTTTCTACACAAATATATAAAGAATCACAACCTTTTTCCTTTATCCATAGTAATATTTGGAGTCTTCATGTATATAAATCGCTGGCTAGATAGTTCATTACATTCATGAACTATCATTCTCGTGTCATTTGGGTTTCCAAATATTTGATCAGATGATCAAGCCCATTTCAAGCCAATACTCAAATTCTTCGAATTGAATCAAAAGAAAATTTTTCCTCAATTCTTGGTTTATCTCAGGCACCATGGATTATTATACATAATTCCTGTGTTAAAACACCTCGACAAAATTGGGTACCTGAGAAGAAAATTACACATCTTCTTGAAGTCTGGTAAAATTGGACCCTAAAGCTTTTTTTTTTTTACTAGAAAGGGTTACAGTGTTAACACCCTCCAACACGAAAAACTATTCTGTCCACTAATGTTTTCATATTTGAGAGTACTTTTTCCAGCTTTAAATTTCTATTTAGGGGTCAGGAAAGCAATTAAGCGCTATCAGAATGAGCTTAGAATTGATATGGACAACATTGAAATACTTCATCACATGTCTCTTTTATGTGCAAAAATGCATGACTTGGCATGTTTTGTTGAAACAAGACAGCAATTTCTCATGCTGAAACCGAATCATCACATGAATTAGATTGGTTCTGTTAGATAAAGTCAATTAAGATAAAGTCCATTTACTTCATGGCTAAGAAACAAGTCATTTGCTTCCTCATTAAGAAACTTATGAGGCAAAGAAGTTGGCAAATTGAAATTGTCTTCTTCAACCATTGGCAGCTTTGCCCGGCAGCTTTGGTGGATAATTCCAAGTGATATTATCATCTAAAATGCCAACCAAATCCAGCAAATTGCAGCCTCTATTGTTGACAAGAGGATCCCGATCAGACACAATAGACGTAAGCAGTCCATGCAGGCGATAGACCTCACGAAAGTACAGTAAAGTCACATGACAGCATCCATAGTTTTCTTGCAAGGGATGAAGTGAATCATCTTGGAGAACCGATCAACCACTACAAAGATAGAGTCAAAACAACGCTGAGTCCTGGGAAGCCCCACAATGAAATCCATGCTAACATCTGTCCAAGACTGGGTTGGGATAGGCACGGGCATATACAAGCCAGCTTTTGTCGCCTTGCCTTTAGTCAAATGACAAGTATGACAACGCTCCACAAACTTGCCGACATCCTTGCGCACTGACGGCTAAAAGTAAGATGCAACAAGAAGTTGCAATGTTCTGTTATGACCCACATAGCCCTCATTGTGCAATTTTTGAACAATCATCAACCTCAAACTGCCCTCTAGAATACATAATTGATTGTCACGAAAAAAGAAATCATCAACCCGTGCAAACTTCGACTGCACACCTTCCTGCAACTTCCGAATAACATGGGAGAAATATGGATTAGTGGCATATAAATCAAAAAGACCATCAAAACTAGGAAACTCCACTCGCATTTCTGTCACGAGAGTTTGGCACCGACTCAATGCATTTGCCACCTTGTTAAGGGCATCTGCTTTGTGCTTAATCACGAAAGTAAACTGCTGCAAGTAAGCAATCCACGAGGCATGTCGAGCAGATACCTTATCTTGAGTATCAAGGTGCTTGAGGGCA